CGGATGATGGTTGGATAGATTTCAAGAGAGTAGATGTAGATGTGACCGAATGCTGCAGTGATTGCAAATTTGCCCAACATGGCAACTGCAGCTCTGGCAGCTCCAAGAGGAATGAAGATTGTAATGAGGCAAAACACTCCACCAAAGATGTAGAAGGCAACTAGGGTAATGCGTCTGCCAAAACGGTTCATCACGTACCAACAGAAAAGATTACTAGGTATCTCTATGGCTCCAGAGACAAAGGCAGCAAGGTAATCATCTACCCCCAAGGCAGAGGTACTCAGAGATAGTCCATAATACACCATGTTGACAACAAACCAGTCAACCCAAAGGATGAGAGTTTTCTTGCGGAGGTTGGGAGTGCGGATCAGATCAAGTTGGGTGACGGGGATGCGAGAAGGCTGCTTCTTGTCTCCTTTGCTGTCTTCACTCAGTTTGTCCAGTAAGTCTTCTGGAGCCTCGGTACCATTCACTTTAGCCATCTTTTCAATGATTTTGGTAGCTTCTTTGTATCTGCCTTTTGTTATCAGCCAGCGAGGAGATTCAGGGAACACAATGATCACAAGAAATGTCAGGACGAAAGGGAGTGATATAGCTAACTGTAGGTGGCGCCATTCTCTCAGAAGGAATGCCAGAAGGGACAGAATCATGTAACCTACAGGAAAGGCTAGAAGTAGCACAGTTGTTGCCCCTACACGATTTTTAGGACCAACTATTTCAGAAGCTAAGACATATATCATGAGACTTCCACCATAAGCACAGGCTGCTGTAATGAAGCGCATCGCAGTGTAGGCAGTAAAGTTGGGCACAAAAGATGTAACAGTCGCTGAAATTGTGACCAGAATGACAGTTAAAATGAAGGTCTTTCTTCTACCAATCCAGTCGCCCACATAACCCCACACCAAGGAACCAACCAGCAATCCTGCAAACCAAACTGACTGGGCATAGGCAGGTAGATCCTGTCTGTCACAGACCAAGCTGAAGTCTTCATTGATGGTGGACTTGTAGCTTGAGTGATCAAATTTCCAGCCAGCATCGCAGGAGATGACGTCCATTGAATTAAAACTCATGTTTCTTCCTACGTCTTCATCATTCATGACATACCGCTCACACGAGGAGTAGACTTTGTTTCCATCATCATCAATCTCATAGGGAATACTGTAGCTCTTCTGCTCTTCCTGACACTCAGCCAGCTGGAGTTGGCTGCAGTTGATCACCTGGCTGGCTGGTACTGCACACCAGTGATCGGTGTTAGCAGCTAGGAACACCTGCCCTATGAAGTGAAAGGGAGGTGGAATAATAACCAAAAACAAGGCAAACACCAGCAGTTTCTGGTACTTGCCAAAAGGCCCGATATGATTCAAAATGTCCTCGTAATGCATGTTGAATTCTTCAGTACTTGATCAGTGTGTCAGCATGAAAAGTTTGAGCTGAGCTGATGCATGCGGAAGGGTGTGTTAATTCCCTCAGGCAAAACGAACTACTGCCCTTTTAACCCATGAATCCAATCTGTGAATAGGACCTGTGCATTGCTCAAGCAGAGTATGTGTATTGTTGTCTGGGTATTTCACCCCATCAAGCATAACAGGCTGTGCTTTATGTACAGTAGTCTATGAAAGCATTGAAAGCACAAAGAATAATTATATAAATACACATATTTAACAACTTTTGTGACCTCTTACAGAACTGGGTTTTTTGTGTCACTCAATTCTGTATAGGACTGTATGCGCGTATGCCCGTGTTCAGGTTTTTCAAATTACTCTCATTTTCCAAGTACCCGACTGAATTCCATAAAACTTGGATGCAAGGACCACTGAGGGTCGAAGATAATGTGGAGTATTTTTCAGGTGAAAGGTCGTGTGTCAAAGGTCAGCTGAGGTCAATAATTGATTAATTCATAAAAGTTTAGGTTGAGTTTTTGAAGAACGTTTGTAACATTGTACATGCTCTGATGGATTCTGATGAAACTTTGAAGCAGTGAGCCTTGGGTGGCAAGAGACAATTCTTCTCTGGGAGGTTGAGGTCAAAGGTCATGTAGGGGACATTAGAGATCATTGTCATTTTCTTGCATCCTCGCTATGATTGTTAAATTAATTTAATTTTTTGGTTGCCGTAAAGTCTCCTATGGGAGTGCATATAATATGACAGGCCCTTTTGTTCTTAGGACAAAAACAGTCAGCAGGTTTCGCCAAAAGGCAAGATTTAGCACTTGAGACGTGCTCTGGCAAGCTAGACGGAACGCGGTGTGTTGCTTTCTGAAGTTCAAGGGAGGAAAATTTGATCGTACAGTCGTTTTCCCATTCCGGATAGCAAACATCATTCAGGCTGTTTTCGGCTCAACTGATCCACGAATTCAAGTGACATTGATTAAAAAGTTTACCTTGAGTGATGGAAATACTAAAAAATAATTTTCCAAATTTAAAGGGAATATACAACATTTGCAAACATCGAAAAATAAAACTACCAAGTTTTTACGAAATACCGCACTAGGATGTTGGTAAATGACAGTCTAAAGCAACCTGTAAAATTATGGCACCTGGTGTGAAGTCATTTTCAAGAAAATTGTATATTTGTATACATTTCCAACGCTGGTCGGCCAACCATCGTTGGAAAAACCTAACTTTTGTTCGACTTCTGCTCCAAATTTACCCTTTTTTTAGTCCAAATTTTGTTTGCTATTGGTTACATGTTCATGAACAGGTGCAGGCCAGCTAGACTGGATCCCCTTACCTTACAATTTTCTGGCATCTATAAATTGATCCATTTTATCTTTAGTTGAGTCCAGGAACCAGACTACTTGAACATTTTTGTTTTTCTTGGTTTTTCCAGCATTTTCGAACACAAAATTTCAAACATGTCAGTTTAACAATATTTGATCTATTATACTAACCCCTCAAATAGTTCATTTCTGAAAATAACAGCGACAGCCAATGATGTACATTCCCTTTAAGCTCTTTTAATTTTGATTTTGCGATGTCAAAAGTACCGATGCCACTTTTCCTAGTTCCCGATCAGTTTAATCAGTTCTGATTCGATCAAAAACTGCTTTGCTGGAAAAACAAAATCACGCAAGAAAATCAATTTTTTGGTCAAGTATTATTTAATTTTTTGAAAAACAGTTCATTCAGGAGAATTCGAGCAAATATTGAAAAGAGAATTAACGTCAATGATTTTTAAACTTTTGTCTGCGGCGGGACAGCACGGACACGCACAGACCTTTGATCTATCACAGAATACGTCACATAAAAGCATGCGTGTGTAGTTCCTACTTGCACGTGCGATCCGGAACTAGGCAAAAACATACCGTCGTTCGTTGGCAAATTTTCAAATATTAGAGACTCTACAACTTATTTGATTCAACAAACATTCGATGCAAGAGTTTATACGACTATAGAGTACGAACAAAATATTCGAAATCACACGGTCCGAGTGTTGTACCGAGGAGAATTTTTTGTGTGGCTTTTCTGCAACTTTGCAGAAAAGCCTGTATTTTTTTACATAACCAAATGACGAATCCACCTTCAAAATGTGTCGTACCATGTGGGAATTGCAATCATGGGGCCAAAAGGCAAGATGACCATTTTTTGTAAGAGACCAGTTGCATGTATAGGAACTGTGATGATTGTGTTATACAATTTGTCTTGCTGCGCCGATGGTTTATTTACAAATACATGTACATGTATAGGCCCTAATCATTGAAATTGAAACTGGACTGAATTAAAACCAAGGACATTTCTGTAAAATGTCTGGGCAATTACATTATACATGCATGAGATTAGTCATGAGATAAATCTGAGCTGTGAATTTACAATGTGCATGGAGGCCTAATTGCTCCTCTGTTTTAATTTGATTAAATTACACTAATTTGAAACTGGAATTCAATTTACATGTTCAAGCAGTTTGTTCTTATTGATAAACTGAAAATTTCAACTTGAAACAAAACATTAGAAAGCAAAGCATCCTTTCAACAGTTTACAAAGTCTATAGAATTCCTTTTCAAAAATAAAATGCACAAAAATAATTATGCAGACGAAAATACATGGTTATCAAGTGAGATACAGAAGAAACTTAAAAGGCTTGTATAAGCAAGAGTATTTTTAAACCAATAAAAAAAATCTTATAATCTTGAATTATTTTGCTCAAATAACTCGGGGAAAGAGGGGCCAGGAATCGCTTCGGATTTCACCACAGAGCATCTAGAATCCCAAGTTTCCTGGGGCCCTTAAGCAGGCCCCGGACCACACAACGTATGACATTGGCGCTCCGCTTTAGTCCTCGAGGCAGATGTCCCTTCCCATTGTTGCAACAGTTGACAAACTAACTCTATATAATTCACTTTCAAAAATGAAATGCAAGAACATAACTATGCAGACGAAATACATGGTTATCAAGTGAAGAACTGAAGAAACTTAAAAGACATAAAAAAGCAAGAGTATATTTTAAACCAATGAAAAATTCGTTATAATCTTAAAACTTTTGCTCAAATAACTCAGGGCTCAGGGAAAAGAGGCCAGGAATCGCCTGAGATTGCACCACAGAGCAACTAGAATCCAAATTTTCCGGGGCCCTTCAGCGGGCCTGGATTCCACACCGTAAGACATTTGTGACCTGCGCTCGCATATAGTACTCGGAGCAAATGCCCCAACGCATCGCTGCAACAGTTTACAAACTAAGTCAATACAATTCCTTTACCAAAAATAAAATGCAAGAAAATATGAAGACGAAAATACATGGTTTTCAACTTTGAAGTGCGTACACCAGTAACTTACAATTTGTAAAAGCAATCCTGATGATCTAATAAAATTTTGCTCAAATAATTCAGGGGAAAGGGGCCAGGAATCGCCTCAGATTGCAGCACAGAGCATCTAGAATTCAAAGTTTTTTCGGGGTTCTTAAGCAGGCCCCGGACCCAGCGCCGTAAGGGCTTTGCGCCCCGCGCTCACATTAGTTGCTCCAAAGGTGTGCCCCCGTCTAAAAAAATCCTGGATCCGCGCCTGTATTCAGACATCCACAGGTTGCTTGGGAGTTTGATCCATTGTGGATAGTGGCAGGTAGTCGATGGGAGCTTGAGTGGGACTTTCATTCTCTACATCATCATTGCCCTTGACGCAAAGCTGGAAGCTTCTTCCCTCTGTAATACCAGAAAGTAAACAAGAAAAACGTGCTGTAGTTGAAAAATTGTAGCACATTTAGGAACTGTGGCACATTTAGGGTCTTTTCAGAAAGTACATTCGATGAAAGTTGCGTTCCCCATACTCTGTAATAAATATATTTTTTTTTTTATAAAAAATTTTCAACTCGTTCGTTTTCTTCAAACCAAAAAAACCCTCTTTTCCCCTTTTTTAGAAGTCTCCAATTCTCTGTAAGTGTTTTGTTTTGTTTCGGGCACAGACAGATCCACTTGGAAAGCAGACTGGCTCGTGGTCCGCACATATTTTGATTTTGATTGTTGGGCGGGAACCAGTGATAATTCAGTAACTAATTATATTGGCTGATCTTTTGGGGGTCGATATCTCATGCACCAGTGAATAACTTTTGAAGTGCTCGAAAAATAGCAATTTTAGAAAAGGAATCTATTATTCGGTACGAAATAGCATGGGGAATGCCGCTTTCAAACCTCAGCCCAAGCAAAAGAGGGGAAAAAGTGATAGGAGAGTAAATGATTGTATGACTTACTGCTGAAGTTCTCTCCATCCTGAATGGTATCAGGCAGACTGTATCCCATGGTCTCTGGAAGCATCAGAGACAGGACTCCAGCGATGATGGCATTTCCTCCAAAGACACAGAGAGGTAGTGGTTCCCAGTACTTGCCCAGGATCAAGATGATAGGACAGAGGATGCCACTAACACGAGCCATCATGGAAGATGTACCCATGCCGATACTCCGGATGATGGTTGGATAGATTTCAAGAGTGTAGATGTAGATGTGACCAAACGCTGCACTGATTGCAAATCATAGCTACTGGGCACAAAAGACGTAACAGTCAATGAAATTGTGACAAGAATGACAGTTAAAATGAAGGTCTTTCTTCTACCAATCCAGTCGCCCACATAACCCCACACCAAGGAACCAACCAGCAATCCTGCAAACCAAACTGACTGGGCAAAGGCAGGTAGATCCTGTCTGTCACAGACCAAGCTGAAATCTTCATTGATGGTGGACTTGTAGCTCGAGTGATCAAATTTCCAGCCAGCATCGCAGGAGATGACGTCTGTTGAATTAAAACTTATGTTTCTACCAACGTCTTCATCATTCATGACATACCGCTCACACGAGGAGTAGACTTTGTTTCCATCATCATCAATCTCATAGGGAATACTGTAGCTCTTCTGCTCTTCCTGACACTCAGCCAGCTGGAGTTGGGCTGCAGTTGATCATGTGGCTGGCTGGTACTGCACACCAGTGATCGGTGTTAGCAGCCAGGAACACCTGCCCTATGAATGTTCAAATTCAAATGTTTCTTTCTCTACATAATTTGACGATTTTGATGTTACTGGGATTATAGCGACTGCGAAAGGAAAGCGACACATACTCTGCGTATCAATTGTATGTATTTTCATCTGGAGCAAAAAAGTTTTTTTTTTATAACGACTGGAAATGTAAAGGCTTTCAATTCCCATTAAAAAAAATAAGTAATAAAATGGCAGAGTTATTTTTAAGTATTTTTTGAGTGAAAATTCCAAAACAACTTTTTTTGTCTATTAATAGTTTGCTCAGTTTATTCAATCATCTTTAAATTACCAATAACCACAACCATCAGGTTTTTATTAACTGAAAGAAGAAACTAAAAATAAACCTTTCCACAATTTTTGTTTATCCATTAATTAATCCTGTACATTATGTACTTTAAAGTTACATTACCCGCGCTAGTTTGGAATTACATCCAGAAAAATACATTTCTTTTCTAAATTGTTATTTTTCTAGCAATACAAATGTTATTCACCTTTGAATGATGCATCAACTGAAAAAAGGTGACCCATGTTTACTTATTGAATTATTACTTTACAAATTTTGAATCATTGGCTGCTAGACAATATTTTTTTTCTGGCGGGGAAGGCTGATTCCCACCCCGCAATCAGTATCAATAATGTACGGACTGGGAGCCAGTCTGCTCGCAAAGCTGTTTTGTTCTATTAAAATTTTTGTTCTATTTTTTCGAAGGCTGCAGACATCCAAAACAGAAAAAAAATAGGTTTTTGGGGGGAGGGTGTAGAATTAAAACATACAAGTTGAAAATTACCCGTAACCTTACCGACTGCTTCAAAACCACCCCCATTTGTGAGTTCTTGGCCGATAAGCCATGTGTACCAAGTCTGTCCAAATCCACCAGCACCAGTGGTGGATTTCAATGGATTTAGTCCTGAACTATAATGTGAAGCAGAGTGAGTGATACATTTTGATGGACATGGTCTTCTCTGTAGTAAAACTCCTTTTTTAAGTAAGCAGTTTGTGTTTGCGTTTGTTGAAGAACATGGGATATGCAGCTCTAAAAAAATGGTAACCATAAAAGTGTTTTCCCACTTTTTTATTCATTAATTTTATGTTTGGCTTTGCCCCCAAAAATTATGTACATAATGATCTCAACTAAGAAATTCAACTCAAACCTTTTTATTGTATGTATACTTTTTTACTAAAAGTTTGCAAACAACTAGACTACGATTTTAAATCAAACTCGTTGTGTTATAAAATTACCAGCAAAATACAGGTAATATATCTCCCTTAGAATTATGTTTGTTCGAAATTAGAAAAATATAAGCAAGCTACAGCAACTGAAAACTAAAACCATTTTCCATTAAATTGTTTTTTTTTAAATAGTCAACTTGAGTTTGAAGGAAGAAACACATGGTATCGCTTGTTTTCTGATATTAGATGACGTTATCGTGACGTCATTACCACAAAACTTTAGAGCTATGTTATCTGTGCTATTTGAAGCAAATTTTTGGATAATATATCTCTCGCAGTTGACTTTTCAGCAACTTCTTTTTTCAGTTTAAAGGTCTTTTCATTGTTTCTTCTGGTCTGGTGACGTCATCAAACTGTCTCCCCCTGAACTTACTTGTTCTTAGTATGAAGCTGAATATATACCGGTATGTGTCAATTATAAAGTGATTTCAGCAAATTAAGCCACATTCATCAACTGATTATTAATTTGTAACATTTTCAACCTGTAGCTAGAGGGCATTCTAACATTCTATGATGTCACTGGTAATGTTTTTGTAAAGTACAACCTGGCCAGAGACTAGCATCACTTAAAGCAAGTTCCCCTTTTTTCCACTTTCAAATATTAAGGCACTTCTGGTTTGGACCACTAAAGAAGGGTAAAAAATGTAGACCCTGGATTATTCTATAAATTCCCACAAAACGCACAATCAGATCTCTCACAGTTGATTTTGTATTGATTTGAAAGATGAAATCTAGAAATATTTGTTCCTTGTAATCTGATACTTGATGTGGTCATCTTTACGTTATTACCAGAAAGCTTGAGAGCTAATGTTAGACAAAAAAAAAATATGGTCAGTCTCTGGTCAGTGCGCGCGTCGATTTTAATCATGATCGTCAATCTTTTTTTTCCCAAAATGTTCTGCGGTAGCTCCAACAGCGCCCTCTATTGCCGCACCTCCTCAAATTTTTGTACCAAAAAGCCCCAAGGAATGGGACATTGCACCAAGGCAAATGATCAAGGGCACCAAGGCAAATTACGGAGGACAATGTCTGTACAATCCAAGATTGAAAAAAAAAGCCACGTCGCCGCATCAATTCCAGAACTTTAGTCTGACCAGAGACCGAGTAATTTTTTTTTGGCCTTATTTAAAGCAAAAATCAGGATTATATCTCTCTTGTGGTTGATTTTCAGCAATTTTTTCCACATCTTTTTTCCACTTTCAACAATAAAAATCTTTCATCAGTAAGAATAGAAAATTCTTGAAAAAGTAATAGGTGTTGGGCTCATGCCTAACACCTAAAAATATATCATTTAGAATTCCATAATTTAAATCCTTCAGACATCCACATGTTGCTTGGGAGTTTGATCCATTGTAGATAGAGGCAGGTAGTCTGTGCGAGCTTGAGTGGGACTCTCATTCTCTCCGTCATCATTGCCCTTGACGCAAAGCTGGAAGCTTCTTCCCTCTGTTATACCAGCAAGTAAACCAAAAAACGTGCTGTAGTTGGAAAAATGTAGCACATTTTGGAAGTTGTGGGTCGTTTCAGAATGTGCAGTCAATGAAAGTTGTGTTCCCCGTCTTCTTCAACAAATTATTTTGTTATTTGGTTTTTGGGGTTTTTTTGTTTGTTAAATTTTCAACTTCTACGTTGTATTCCAACCAAAATCCTCTTTTTCCCCATTTTTGGGAAGTCTGAAACTCTCTGAATTTTTTTTTTTTAAGTTTTGGGCACAAATAGATCCTCTTTGCGAGCAAACTTGCTTGCGAACCACACCTAATTGATAGTGATTGCAGGGTGGGAAACAATAGCAACAGGGAATGCAGCTTTAAGACATCTGACCACGCAAAGGATGATCAAATGTGGTATTTCAAGACAATACAATTGGTAACAAAGGTTCAACAACAAGAATTATTAAGGTACCAGTATTTCACTGAATGAATTTAAAGTTTTTCTACGAAGAGTTTTGGCAACACTGCATGAGGAAAGTCAGGCAAAACACGAATGTGCACCAAATTAGGGAACACCTCTATATATTGGCTGATTTCTTTGGGGGGGGGGGGGGGGGTTCGATGTTTCATTCACAAGTGAATACATTTTGAAGTGCTAAAAAAATAGCAATTTAGAAATGATCAAATTTTTTGGGACAGGGAATGCCACTTTCATACCTCAGACCAAGCAAAGGATGAGCAAAAGTGATAGGAGAGTAAATGATTGTATGACTTACTGCCGAAGTTCTCTCCGTCCTGGATGGTATCAGGCAGACTGCAGCCCACGGTCTCTGGGAGCATCAGAGACAGGACTCCAGCAATGATGGCGCTTCCTCCAAAAACACAGAGAGGTAGTGGTTTCCAGTACTTGCCCAGGATCAAGATGATAGGACAGAGGATGCCACTAACACGAGCCACCATGGAAGAGGTACCCATGCCGATACTCCGAATGATGGTTGGATAGATTTCAAGAGAGTAGATGTAGATGTGACCGAACGCTGCACTGATTGCAAATTTGCCGAACATGGCTACTGCAGCTCTGCCAGCTCCAAGAGGAATGAAGATTGTAATGAGGCAAAACACTCCACCAAAAATGTAGAAGGCAACTAGGGTAATGCGTCTGCCAAAACGGTTCATCACGTACCAACAGAAAAGATTACTAGGTATCTCTATGGCTCCAGAGACAAAGGCAGCAAGGTAATCATCTACCCCCAAGGCAGAGGTACTCAAAGATATTCCGTAAAATACCATGTTGACAACAAACCAGTCAACCCCAAGGATGAGTGTTTTCTTGCGTAGGTTGGGAGTGCGGATCAGATCAAGTTGGGTGACAGGGATGCGAGAAGGCTGCTTCTTGTCTTCTTTGCTTTCTTCACTCAGTTTGTCCAGTAAGTCTTCTGGAGCCTTGGTACCATTCCTTGAGCTATCTTTTCAATGATTTTGGCAGCTTCTTTGTATCTGCCTTTGTTGTATATAAGCCAGCGAGGAGATTCAGGGAAACACACATGATCCCAAGTAAAGTCAGGACGAAGGGGAGTGATATAGCTAACTGTAGGTGGCGCCATTCTCTCAGAAGAAATGCCAATAGGGACAGAAGCAGTAACTCGAGAAAGGCAACAAAAATCCCATTTGTTGCACACAAAAAACAACAGCCAACAAAATACATTGTTGCAGCTACACGATTTTTAGGATCAACTATTTCAGAAGCTAAGACATATATCATGAGATGTAACACCATAACCACAGGCTGCTGTAAAGAAGCGCATGACAGCATAGGCAGTAAAGTTGGGCACAAAAGATGTAACAGTCGATGATATTGTGACAAAGAATGGCAGTCAAGATGAAAGTTCTTCTCCTACCAATCCAGTCGCCCACAGAACCCCACACCAAGGAACCCACTAGTAATCCGCAAACCAAACTGACTGGGCATAGGCAGGTTGATCCTGTCTGTCACAGACCAAGCTGAAATCTTCATTGATGGTGGACTTGTAGCGTGAGTGATCAAATTCCCAGCCAGCATCGCAGGAGATGACGTCCGTTGAATTCAAACTCGTCTCCTTCTACCAACGTCTTCATCATTCATGACATACTAACGCTCACACGAGGAGTAGACTTTGTTTCCATCATCATCAATCTCATAGGGAATACTGTAGCTCTTCTGCTCTTCTTGACACTCAGCCAGCTGGAGTTGGCTGCAGTTGATCATCTGGCTGGCTGGTACTGCACACCAGTGATCGGTGTTAGCAGCCAGGAACACCTGCGCTATATGAAGTGAAATGGAGATGGAATAATAACCAAAAACAAGGCAAACACCAGCAGTTTCTGGTACTTGCCAAAAGGCCCGATATGATTCAAAATGTCCTCGTACTGCATGTTGAATTGTTCAGTACTTGATCAGTGTGTCTGCATAAAAAGTATGAGCTGAGCTGTTCCACATGGAAGGGTGTGTTCCCTTTACCAACCACCGTCCTTTTAACCTAGATATGAATCCATCAGTGTTACTCAAGCATAAAGTAGTCAAGCACTGTAGTCTGCATTAGCATTGGAAGTACAAAGACAATTGTCAAACCAATAGTGTTACATTGTTGTCGGTGTATATAATCCCGCAATCACAAAGTAGTCTAGCACTGCATTAGCATTGGAAGTACAAAGATAGAGAAATACACATATATTATGACAGCTGCTGGGTTTTTGTGTCACTCACATCTTGTAGGACTGCATAACAGTATGCCCGTACATTGTACATGTTCAGTGTTTTTCAAATTGCTATCATTTCCCAAGTACCCAACTGAATTCCATTAAACTTGGACACAAGGGTCACTGAGTGTCGTAGATAATGTGGGATATATTTTGGTGAAAGGTCGAATATCACAACGGTCAGCTGATAGGTCAATAATTGATTAAGGGGGTATTCTCTAGGCACCTGCCAAATGCAACAGAATGCAGACATGGAATGCATCAGATCAGGAGACTGCTAAATGCAA